AGCGCCCCGACCAGTGCGCGCGAGAAGGACTGACTGGGGCGGCGGCAGTTGGCCCTGTCGCTGCTGGCCCAGCCTGAGCCATGACCGCGTCCTTCCTGACCACGTCCTCGTGCTCGGTCAGCTTCTGGATGAAGGTGTCCACGTCGGCCATCGTTGGTTCGCCATGTCGCGGCCCAGGCGGCTTCGCCGGCGGCGGCAGAGGGGGTCCAGGCTCAGGGTCCGAGGCCCCCGCCACCGCCGCCTGCGGCGCCCGGAGCCCCGTCGCCGCCGTCGATTCTCGACTTCAGGTCGCCGACGGCATTGGCAAGGTCCGACTGCCCGCGCGCGAGCTCGGCGAGCAGCGCCTTGGTGTCCGTCTCCTCGTCGCTGTCGCTGATGTCGGCACTTCCGTTCACGCTGCCCACCTCCGAGTCGCTGCCGCCCTCGCTCTCCGAGTCCACAGTTTTCCCGCTGCCCAGAAACGACCGCGCCCCGTAGAGCACGAGCACCGCCGCTCCCACGTATCCGATGAGAACCTCGAGGCCGCCGCTGCTACAGAGCTCGCAGGCGAACTCGTGGAAATTTTCAAGGTCCTCCACCGCCTGGAGCGCCGCCAAGGGGGTGGCGCGTGGCAGAGACGAGCGGCCCCAGCTGGAAGAAGCGCCAGATTCGCCAGGAAACGAAACTTCCAGCGGCGAAGTTTCCCCTACGTCCTCGCGAAGATCGCGGAGATCACGGCCTTGCCCATCCACGTGGCGACCTTTGTGCAGTTGCTGGTCTTGTTCTTGCCACCCTTGGGGGTCCATCTTGGCTGAAGCGGCTTCCGCCTGTCCCGGCTCGCGTCGCACGATCGGCCGCTCCGCGGCGATCGCCGCCTGCTCCCTCTGCTTCTCCGGAAGGCCAGGGTGCTCTGTCCAGCTCGCTTCGCGCTTGGGACGAGCATGCATGTGGGCCTTGTCCCGTAGGTTGATAGTCGCAACACGCTGCGCAGGGTCCACCGCCATCCACACTTGGCTGTTGGTGGCCCCCACTCGAGACATTGAGGGCATGGCCGCCCCATCGTTGCGCCCTCGCGCCTGCGCTTGCGCTCTGTTCCAGCGCCCCCAGGGCGCTATGATGCCCGCGGGCACGCCCCGCCACGGCTCCCCTTCGCCAGCGGCCCTCCAGCTTGGAGAACACGAGAGCGCCTATCAGGGCCCGCCCGAGGCGCCCGATCGCCGGCGCTGCGGCGGTGAGCCTCGAGCCCCTAGGCTCGAATCAGGGTTGGAAAGGTCCCGTGGCTCGAAATTCGGGCAATCCCCCGTTCTCTTTTGAGCCGAAACTGTGGCCGAGAGGAATGGACAGGTGGGCAATGAGGATGGAGGCGGCTCCTTCGGGTTAAACGGGGCTCTTTCAAAAGTGCCCCTGAAAACGCGTAGGGCGCCGCCATCATCTGCCGCGGCGCCCCCCGAATCAGCGCGCGCGACACGGGCGGGCTGGGTCGGCGGCGGCCGCCTCTGGCGCCGCTCGGCGAGATGCCAGGGGTGAAGCCGATGCCCGCCATCTGAGACTGCGCTCCGCTCTGCGCGTGCGAGGCGAGCGGGCAGGGGCCGCGGCGGCTGGCATTGTCGCCGCTCGGCGAGACGCCAGATTAGAAGGTGGATCCCGAGCATCCACGACCCATCAACTGTTCCGGGGGCCGCGAGTCTTGCAACCCATCGCCTCCTTCTACCGAATATTGCACGGCGCCGACGGGTGAGCTTTCCCCCTTGCCCGGCGCGAGGGCCCGGTGATGCGCCCCGGCCGTCTGCTTGAGGCGGGCCGCCCATTGCGCCCCGGGCGAGGGGCGCCCGTTCGTCCGGGGCGTCGAGGTCGAGGGGGTCGTGTTGCATCCTCGACCCAGCATCTGTTGCAGCATCCCCGATCCATCATCTGTCGCTGCTGACAGCGGCAGCTGGCCCTGGCAGCAGCGGCGCGGTCGAGGAGGACGCAGAGGCGCATTGCGACGTTGACGACGAGGTGGGAGGTCGCGGAGGGCGTTTGGCGCACCGACGTGGCCAACGAGAGAATTCTCTGCGCCGTTCATCAGGCTTGTCGCGTGCCCTATGTGAGTTTCGAATCGAGCGATGGGGATGGCGAGAGGGGTGACAAGGGATGGCCATAGATGTGGAGGGGGGCGTCGCGGTAAAGGGGCCATCGACGCGGCCGCGGAGGTGGGCGTCGATGGGGGGTTCGAGGGGGCGGTCCGCTCAGTGCTGACGTCCAGCGATGCCGGGGAGCGGGGGGGGGGTCCAGCGCCCTCCTGGGGCCCCGCTAGCATCGCGGCGGACGGCAGCAAGGAGGTACAGGAGCAGGGTAGGGACGTCCTGGAGCTTGTTCCCAATCCTGCGCTCATCGTTTCGGTGCTACAGCACCAATATTGTCGATGTTATGCCATCAATCGCTGCCCTGTTTGCTGCGTGCCCTCGTTGCCGTGGTTCAGGTTTGCCGCGTGCCCTATGTGATTGTCGAATCAATCGATGAGGGCGGAGAGGACGGCGGCAAGGGGGTGGCCATGGAAGGAGGGGGGCGTCGAGATGAAGGAGGCAGTCGACGTGGTCGCGGCGGTCGGCGTCGACGGAGATCAAGGAGGCGGCCCGCGCAGTTCTGGCGCCCTGCGATGCCAGGGAGCGGGGGGCCCGGCGCTATTTTGAGACCCTGCTTGCATCGCGGCGGACGGCGTCAAGGGGGTGCAGGGGAAGTGCGGCGACGTCCTGGAGCTTGTTCCCAATCTTATGCTCGCCAATCCTTTTAGATGCTACGTCGCCAATCTTGCCGCCGTTTCGTTGCCAATCGCTGCCCGACGACAGCGCCCCGGACCCAGAGGGGCAGGGCGAGCTTGCCCTGCGCCGCCATGTTGCTAACGGCCGCATGGCGCCGCCGCGGCCCGCGTCGCTCGGCCGCGACAGCGCGGGCCCAGTCGAGCTCTGCGGCAGCGGGCGGTCGCGCGAGGGCGGAGACAGCCTAGCGAGTTAACGGGCCCAACGTCCCCGGTGGGCGGGCCGCGGGGGCGGCGCCGTCGGTCCATCCCTGGACGTGCGCGGGCCTCCCCGCAAGCCCGCCGGCGCATTCCTGGTCGGAGTCGGCCAGTGAGATCAGAGGTGCGCGATCAGAGGTCCAGAGTCCTCTCGCGCGGGCTGGCAGGCCGCGGGCGGCTGGGGCAGTTGCGCAGGACGGGCGCGCGCCGCCTGCCAGTTCCCCGCCGATCGCGGCCCGCGCGGCCGCTGTGGAGGCGCTGCGCTGTCGCGGGGCGGATCTCGCCGCGCCCAGCTAGCGCGGGGCATCCTGCCCGATGGTCGAGGAGGCGCGGGCGGATTTTCTGTGGACTCGCGAACACAGATCATTTCACCTGGCACTGATGGAAAAATGGGGCGAGCTCGCCCAAAAACTGCCCCGCGACAGGTGGTGGTCGACTTCCTGTGCCCCCTGCCAACGCGCGGGCGGCAACCGACTGGCGCTCGCGCCCCGCCAGCCTCGGCAGCACTGACTGGGCAGGCCGAGGCAAACGAGGGCCCTGATTGGGTCAGACACCTGGCTGGCCTGGCCGTCGTCTCCAAGGAGCAGCTGGTGGCCCGCATCAGGCGGCTTGGGGCAGGGGCAGGATAGCTGGGAGAGCTCGCTGCGGCCAGTGGAGCGGCAATGCGCTGGGCCCATGGTTGCCCTGCGTGAGTTTCCTACGCGATTTCCTCGCAGCGCGCGCGGGGCACCGCGGTGCAGTTTCCTGTTTCGGGCGGCCGCGCGCCGGACAAGCACTGATCTGTCGCTGTTTGCATTGTCGCGCTCCGATCAGCCGCTCGTGTCATGCGCCGATGCGTCGGCTGCTGCTGGCCCGTCATTCGCCGATTTGTCACTCTGGGCGCGCGGGCCGCTCTGTCGCCCTTGGTTCCGCCGTGTTTCACTTGCCGTTGCTTCCGCCACTCCCGGCCCTAGGCCCGTGGCATTATGTCTTCTGTCGGAGGCGGCGTGGCGTCCCTGCCACCCTCTGGCGGCGCCCCCCCCCCCGCGGTGGCTCGTCGGCCCCCCCCCTCCTCCGCGTAGGTCGCGGGGTTCGTTCGGTCGCCGTCGTCGTCGGTCTTGGGCTCGGCCGTGTCGTGGGCCCCCCCGCCATGGTCTCTCCGAGCTCCCCTCCTGCCTCTGCCTCGCTTGCTCTTTCCTCGCCTCTCCCCGTCCTTCCGGGTAGCTCCAATCAAGGGGGTTGGGCCTTTTGGGCGCCTGGAGCTCTCGCTCCTGGCGCCGTGTCTTCAGGTCCCCCCGAGCTGCTCGCGCTTGGTCGTGGTTCCTGGCTCCGTTTGCCACCGCCGACGTTTGTCCTGCATTTGATGCTTGTCTTCGAGCTTGGCGTAGGCTCTCCAACTGGGCCTTTTGCGAGCCTCGCAGCGCTTTTCGGTTTCTTTTCGGCCAGCCTGGTTGCGTCTCTGACACTGGCCTCTTTTGGTTGCGTGGCGACCCACCAGCTCTTTCACGGCATGGCTTCATCTAGTTGGTCCCGGCATTGCCAGTGCTGTTTTTTTCCACGCGGGCTGTCCGCTATCACCAATCCAGGATTTCTTCACCCATTGTTGCTATGCATCGGGCGTCGCCGCTTCGTAGGTTTGCACCCTATCCGATTACTCAGTGGCACCAACTCGCGCTTGACAGCTGCTGGCCCTTCATTTTGTTCGAGTCGAGCTTTTTGTTCCTCGTTCTGTTGGCCGTGGCACTTTGGCGCTGGAGTGCCTCATGGTTGTCATCAACTATCAGCACGGCCGCGATTGGACTTTTCATAGTGGCGCGCTCGACTAAGTACGTTCGCACTAAGCACCTCCATTTGCCGACCGCGCCTGGGGTCCCTCTGCGCTGTTTGCTTCAAGTGTGTGTGTGTGTGTGTGTTGCGTCTGTTTGTTTGCGTGTGTATGTGTTTGTGTGTGTGGGCGTGTGTGAGAGAGAGTGTCGTAATGGTGGTGCTTTAGAGACTCGGTCATATCAGTATCGTGCATAACTGGACGTTAGGGGTGGAAGGGAAGGCTTCGCCACCAGATGCTCATGGCGTCGGTGACGATGGGGCCGCCGAAGCACGCGAAGAAACAAATTTGAATGGCGACACACAAGGCGCAGATGTTGAATTGTCCGGAAATGGAAGGCCTGTCCGTGCAAGCTCAATGTGTAATGTTCACGATGAGCCACGTCGTCCAGCTGCTTGATGCTGTGCTTGATGGCTTGTTTTTGTTTGGGTCATTGGCGTCCTGATCCCTTTTCCTGCCTCTGCCCCCCCCGCCCCTTTCTCCATCGCCGCGTTTTTGTTCCTCCTCTTTTGTACTGCTCCGTCCCCCTCCCTTCTCTACCCTTCCCTTCCAACCTTCTCGTCCGTCCTGTACCTTTTCTCCTTGCCTCCGGCCTCTTCCGCTTCCTTCGTTTCCTGGGTCGTGGTCATTGAAGTCTTCGTATCTCCCCCCCTGTAAGATATAGTGGCCCAAATCGACATCGCGACAATCCCCCCTTCTCCCTACACGCGGAGAGGTGGTTGAGGGCTCGACATCCCACGTGACACATGCCAGCATTTGCAGGAACGACGTGCTCGGGCGTGACAGTTGAAGTTTTGGTCGTTTCTTCCACCACCATCAGCACCGCCGTGGCCACTTTTTTGCCCAGGACCGGGCATTCCTTAGTTCATTTCATCAGGGGAGGTCGGCAAACATCCAGGGTTACAGTATTTCCAATTGTCCCAGCAACGTATGTGCTTGTGCGGCACACGCGGACGTCTCGAATGGTTCTGGCTAGGGGTTGGCATCCGTTTCCCAACGTGTGTGCTTGTGCAGACACGGGGAACGGGTAGTTTGTGCAGTGTGCGTTTCGAAATGCGTTCGTATCAGTCGACTCGTATTTCATTGACTATTGTCAGCGAGTGTACCAAGCTATACCTCCACAGAGCACCATGTTTGGATGGAAGGGAGCTAGTACATTAGTCTTTCTCTATATTTCTCTCTTTATCGCTCCCTCGCCCTCTCTGTCCCTGTCTCTGTCTCAATATCTGCCTCTGTCTCTCTTTCTCTCTCCCTCTCTCTTTCATTCCCTCTCTCTGCTCTCTCTCTCTCTCTCTTCCTTTCTCTCTCTCTCTCTGTCTGTCTCTCAGTCTGTCTCTCTTTCTATGTATAAATATGTGTATACATGTATATATATATATATATATATATATATATATATATATATATGTATTTGACCGTTGCTGTGCATGTACTTATATATTTATAAACACACCTGATATATACACGCGTATATGTATTGTTTATTTTTCTCATGTACAGGTGTCTTTTTTGTATATACATATGTATATATGTATGAATGTATGTATGTGTATATGCATGTATATGTGTATGTATGTGTGCATGCATGCATGCATGTATGTATGTCTGCATACGTGTACATAGGTATGCCCACATTTATGTATGCATGTGTGTATGTGTGTATGTGTGTATGTGTGTATGTGTGTATGTGTGTATGTGTGTATGTGTGTATGTGTGTATGTGTGTGTGTCTGTCTGTATGTATAGATGCATGCATGCATGCATGCATGCATGCATGTATGTATGTATGTATGTATGTATGTATGTATGTATGCATGTAAGTATATACGTGCGTGTACGTGTGTTTGTATGTATGTATGTGTATGTATGTGTATGTATGTATGCATACATGCATATGTATATGTATACAGTCCAAGAATCAATGTTTGGAATTGGATTTCGCGCTCGCGTTGGGGCCGTGTTCCTCGCGGCGTCGCCATTACGGTTGCAGTTGTGCGGAATGCCTTGCGCGAGCGTGGCCGTTTCGGCTCAATTGCTGTGCATGACAATGCGTTGCATCGCACGTGGTCGCATTGCAGTGCGTCGCGTTACTTACGCGCGCACACATACCACCACGCGCGCGCGCACGCGCACCACCAACCTCTACGCACGCGCGCACACGCATAGCACACACACGCACACACACACACACGCACGCACGCACACACACACGCACGCACGCACGCACGCACGCACACACAACACACAGCACACAACACACACCACACAACGCACAACACAACACACAACACACAACACAACTCACACAACACACAACTCACACAACACACAACTCACGCCACACAACACACAACACACAACACACAACACACAACACACGACACAACACACAAGACACACCACACAACACATAACACACAACACACAGCCCACAACCCACAACCCAGAACACACAACACACAACACACACCACACACCACACAACACACACCACACAACACACAACACACAACACACAATCCACAACACGTAACACACAAGACACACCACACAACACAACACAGCACACACACAACACACAACACACAACCACACAACCACACAAACACACAAACACACAAACACACAACCACACAAACACACAAACACACAAACACAAACACACAAACACACACACACACACACGCGCACACACGCACACACGCACACACGCACACACGCACACACGCACACACGCACACACACACACACACGCACACACGCACACACGCACACACGCAGTCCCTCGCTTCGCGAGCCGGGGCCAGCGAATGCAAACATTCAATAAAATGCGGTGACGCCACCGCGCGAGTCACGTCCATGGCTGCGAAGAGCCGCCGCGCGCCCACTGGTCGGCGGACTGCGCGTGCGCTGCGCGCTCCCCGACGCCCTGCGCAGGCGCCAGCTGTGGCACTGCGCGGGCCGCGGCCAACCCCGCTGCGCCGCCTTCGTTCGGCGCTCGCTGGCAGCGCTGGCGGCCTTCATTTTAGCCGCGCGGTCGCCGCCGACAGGGCTGACCACGACGTGGGTTCCCAGAAGGGACCGTCGAGCACGGGTGGCACGCGCAAAGCGCCGAGCAAACCTAGCAATTCATAGTCTTCGCGGGAAGGGAGATCCGCGATGTTGAGTTTGGAGGGGGCTCTTTCTACCCGCGGGGCGATCTGCTGCTGGGCCGCCTTGGGCCACAGGCAGTTGAGCAGGCAGGAGTGGTCCCATTCTTTGGGCGCCCCCCTGCTGGTCACGGTCTCGGCGCCTACACTGTCGCTCCACGCCCTGACTCTGCGGCGCCGCAAGAAGTGTGAATAGAACCCGTATAATACCCTCATATATACTCCTTATCCTCACTCTCCTGCGCCTGGCCGTTTGGGCTCAGGTATTGGACCAGATCGATCATGCCTTTGATCGTGCAGGAGGAAAACATATCCATCTTCCCTCCTTTCCTCTACCAACGGATCAGGGGTTTTGTACCTTTGTACCTCAACCCCATACACAGGTTATCAGCCCTTAACGCTCACAGTTCATCGAACCCCGCGTCGCGATCTCGCACGCGGCCTCGATGGAACCCAAGCGGCGCATGTGCCGTAAGGGGTCCGTCGGGGCCTCGCGTCCGAGCTCTCCGGCGGCGCGACGGCTCAGCCTTATTGTGGACCGTGTGGGTGTCCCAGATACCCCCCCCCCCGGCTCAGACGGGCCCGAGGCGCGGCTAGCTGTTGAACTTCGCCGCCGCGCCGCCCGCGGGGGGACAGGAGAAGCAGTGGGGGCAGGCAGTCGAGAGTTTCACACGCCTACCTTCGATCCTCCATCTCCTCCTCCGTCGGGAGCAATTCCAACTGCGTCGGGCGCCAGCCCCGCTGGTCCTGATACTCCAGGGCGCTTCCGCGCTACCCGCCGATGGAACACAGGTACTGGCATGACCAGCCCTGCGACCGTTCCTGTAGCGGAGCACGTTGCTGCCTTTGAGGAACTCGGTAGACCAGGGGCGGCGCAGCCGCAGACGCAGCATCCCCTGGTATCATATCATCAGACACCACGCACACACGGCCCTAGCCGCAGCTCGTCCTTGCGTAACCGTCGTGAGGCCACAGGCCCATGCGACGAGAAAAGGTCGAGCCCGCGTGCCGCCTCTCAGAGGCCATGCGCTCCTCGCGAGAGGATGCAGCGGGGAGCTGACGCTCCCCACCTCTCCCTCTCAGACGACCTGTCGGCGGTGACGTCCGCTACAGGTGAGATCGCTGAGCTCCGAGACCAGGTTGAAACCTTCGTGTCCAGGCAGTGCTCTGGACTGATGCAGTGCGTTCAGACGAACGCTGCCAACGCTGCTGCCCTACGTCAAGATTTTGACGGCGCCTTAGCGATCATAGATTCCAGGATCGCTGAAGATCGCCGCATCTTAGGTGAGCTGTAGTATCAGGTTGACCGTGAGGTGTCACACTCAGGTGAACGGTCAGCGACGGTCGAGCACCTGCGCAATTACCTTGCGCAGATGGAGCAACAGCCTGTTATCGTCCGCGACACCGGGCGTTTCAGCGGTCTGGATCCTCCGCGACGAGATCCATGACCAGCTCCGAAACCGACCACTTCCAGCCGAGGCAACCGACCTTGGCGACGTCCAGTCTCAGATCAACGATATTCGATCCTACGTGGACCACGCTACAGCGACGCTTCGCGCCGAAGCGAACGCCAACTCGTCGACCCTGATCGGCATGTTGCAAAACACTGAGAGAGTTATCGCTCAAAGGCTTGACGCGACCAACGCTGTCGCGCAGCCACTCACTAACCGGATCTCTGAAATCGAGCAGCGTTTCCCTGGTGCACAGGGCGCCCTGGCCGAGTTGCGTGTCGGGCGAGCCCAGACTGGCCAGCTGGAATCTCCCCCTACGGTATGCGATTTCGCCCGCCTCACTGACAGGTTGCAGGAGGTTGAGACGGCGGCGGACCACGCGCTGTCTGAGCTCTCCCAGGTTGTTCGTGAGAGAGATGCCGAAAAGGTACGTGTCGAGGAGTGTCTCACACGTCTGGAAAGTGACATGGAAGCACACAACGCCCGTCTCCGAGCCCTCGAGCAACGACTTGATCAGTGTTCGCAACGCTCCCGGGATACTGACGACTACACACGCCAAAAAGTGGACCAGATACACGAGGACATGACGAGCTGGACAAATCAGTTGATTGACCACACCAACGACACCGCACTTCACCTTCAGCCTACACCCGGCCTGTCCAGGCCGACGGCAGCGTCCGCTGAACCACCGCGCTTCTGCAGGACAACAACGACGTACGTCACCAGGAGCAGCCTCTGC